TTTACTTGTTTTTAACTTATGTGTTAATTTGATTTGGATTTTGATGGGTTAAATACGGGTATTGTCATCTTAATAATATTGGAATTATCCGAGTCTAGGTAATACCTAAGAGACACTTAATTGGACTCCAATAATCAAGTAAGCGAGATCTATATCATTATTTACTCCAAATAGAAAGTAGGGATTGTTTGTGACCAATCAGTGAGGCAGTGTTTATGGTAGTAATGGTGGGAAATGGTTAAAACCTTAAGGGAGAAAATACTCGCGCCGGCCATAACACACACTATATTCCTGCTAAAATTACATTCTGTGGAGTCATGATAAAGATTCTTTTTGATGTGCTACCTGAATGATAACATAATATTACTATTGACAAATAATTCACATGCGCAGCCAGGAACGGATTCTGTACCTGTCAACATGGCAGAACCTATAGGTCTGAAACAGTTGCACATGTTCAGGAAGTTAATTGTGTGTGAGGGATCAACTATTATTTATAAGCCTTTGAATATAAAGGGCTGGGACAGCCCTCTTTGAATACTGAGTGGAACAATAAGCTATGAAGTAATCATAACTTAGAGAAAAACAGGCCAAGTACATCAACATAAAGCACAATATCGAGGTAAAAGAAATACAATTCAGTCACCACTGCTGTATTTCACTCAAAGAGGATTTTAAGTCCTAATTCTAACTTTACCAGCTCCTGCAGATTGTCTCAATAGTACTTTATAACCAATTTCACTGTTAGTATCAACATGATTTCAAAGACCAACCTTAGTCTTGGAACAAGAGAATGAATGACAGATCGTCTATACTTAAAAAGAACATACATACCCAGGAAGTTGCCTAAGAAAGGTAAATTAATAAAATGTAATGTTCACAAGTCACAGTGGATGCAGGAATTGTATATGCAGCGCCGTTTTCTTTTCTTCTCAATTAAATGAACTTGAACAGGTTGAGGGTTTAGGTGATGGAGAGGCACATGGATGGCATTGCACCCCAATGCCCTGCCCGTTGTGTCAGCCCACTATCCTCTCTTGACATGTCCCAACTAAACATTGAACATGAAATGATGAGTCCTTCCTACACCTACACTGGCAAAAGAATAAAGACGTGCTAAGCAGTTTTAGAAAGACAGTGGACATCCTGTAATAACCACCATCGAAGGTGTTTGGTATGGAGTTGGTGCATATCTCTCGATACGTCCGTTCTTGACAACAAAATGTTGCTTCACAATGCAAAGGTCTAAGATCAGCCCCTTACCTTTAACTGTTCCGCCTCAGGTCCGACGATACATGGTTGCCATCATCCATTCTTCCATTCACATGTTAAACATTAGATCTATTAAACTGTTGTCCTGTAGATTGCTTACATTGCTACTTGTACTTACCTTGACACTGGATGCTGAACACCTCCTGAACTGTAAACTATGTCTGTCTGTTGGCTGTCCACCACTGTTTAGGTGTGTTTGATGTATTTTTGAATGATCCTGGCTCATATCCAATTTCCCTGGAAGGACAATAAGATATTTGAACTTTTGATGATTAGCTTTCACGTTCGTTGGCGAGATTGTGTTGTCTGTTAATCAACTCTGTTGTATTTTTGTGTTTTGTTTCATGTTTTTGTACGAGGTGGCCCGAGATAAGTAACTGTATAGTAAGAGCTGATGTTTGTCTCGTTCAGCAGCTCCTCACAGGAAGACTGAAGTCACAGGCTGACACTGAGAAGGAAGAAGAGAGGATCATTCTGCAGCAGCTCTGCTCCTTGAGTGACTACAGGTCGTCTCTTCCCCGGACGAGTATTACTAACACTGTCTGTCTTTATTAAAGGTAATCATCACCTTTGGCATCATCTCCACCATGAAGATGCTGACTCTGTCTGCACTTCTTTGTGCCATGATGGCTCTGACTGGAGCTGCTGGTGAGTATCACTCCCTATGTTAAGTACATTTGTACCAGTGGTTCCCAACCTTTTTCTTGAAGGGACCCCTTTTGTTACCATTGAGTACACTAACGACCCCTGACAAAGACATTAACTCACTATTGTCCTTCCAGCTCTGCCAGACACAGAGGTTGGAAATTGGATAGACTGATTCACTATTTAGAGTCTAATGGATGGACTGAATGTGTCAGACAGCATTTGGTTTAGTTTAACAGCAACTGAAACAACACATGAAATATCTAAGGTACTATTTAATGTGTAGTTGTAGTAAATGTTCAAGGACCACCACAACAAAGATAAAAAAAAGATGTTTTATGTTATTTGAAAGTTTTATGGTATTAGATGAGAGATGGTCAGTGAAGATTTTGCAAGAGTGGATATCGATTTGTGTCTTGAAGCTAAAAATAGATAGAAGTTGATTATTAGTAAGTAAATTAAAAACAGTTGAAGTTGACAAATAAGAATCAGCCTTTTAATGTGTAAATCTTAAATTATATAATACATAATAAGCCATTGTGTATGAATGTTTAATGGAATTATTTTGTACCTTAAGAAAAATTGTATAACTTTAAAGAATTACTATATAAATTCCACCAAACTGCTACAGTCATTTTATGGGTTTGGGAAACGCACTGAAGAAAATTAATATATGAATACTATAGAGTTGGTGATCTTATAGTAAAGTTCTACTACAGTGTTTGTATAGTATCACTATATTCCTGTTGTATTTCTATGGTTTTTCAGGGAATTACTGGAGTTATACTATATTTCTATAAAGTGTTTCTATAGTATGTTCAATAGTCAGACATATATTAAGTTACTATAGTAATACTTTACATTTACTAAAACATTATCAGTATTACTTTATGTTCTACAGTACATTTAAAGGACAACTACAGAAACACTATATAATATACAACAGTAATACTATTTAAAATAGTACAGGAATACTACAGATCGAGATACATAGTATTACTAATTAAATATTATAGTTTTACTGTAGCTACACTGTAAAACTAAATCTGTAAATTTACAGGATTATTCCCATTTATTTTACAAATTTTCAGTATTTTTTAAATACATGAATATTAATAAAATTGCCTGTGAATTTACATGTCTAATTTAAATGCAAATAATCATAAAGTTACTGCTTTTAGGTCTGCAAAGGTATATTATATAATTTATTTATTTCCACAGATATTTACTGTTTATTTAAAAACACAGAACAAATCTGTAAATAAACCTGTAAACATACAGATTAGAAGGTATTAGCACGCAGGCCTTTCTCTTTTCAGTCAGTTCTTATAATAAACTATTAGTAATATATATTATACTATATGATATACTATAGTTCATTTTCACAACACCCACTTTGTTTTTGTTTCTCGCCGGACATCATTTGTAGCTGCACCAAAACCTGGAAGCACACCGTCCACGCATGGCGCAAATGTGCAAAGTTATTGTGCACAAACTCTCAGCTGCAGGCAGAGATTAAAGATGTTTTACTGGATGAAGAGGAGCAGCGGCGGCTCGGAGACGCTCGACAGTCTGGGGAACATGTCCAAGGCGGAGATACTGAGAGGGATCGTGACCGAGAAGCTGAGCACCGCCGCGCAGGAGATCTTAGCGGTGGTGGAGAGAACCGTGGCCGGGTACGAGGAGGAGGCTGCGGGCTTCAGACGGGAGATCGACCGGCAGAGGAGACAGCTGGAGCTCCTCCTGCAGCCTCGGGTCAAACTGGAGAGGAAAGGTCAGAGAACTGCGACCGATACACGAATAACATGAACGCTGTGTTGTTTTAAGATGCGGAACTTCATTTAAAAAACGAGTCATTTAAAGTTTATTTGCTCGCTGACAACCCGACAAACCACAGAGGACATGAAGTGAATGTGGGGAGGTATTTTTATAATGTGTCTGACAAATCGGCACCAAAATAAGTTAAAGTAAATGTAGTGAATTAGTCAGTTTTTACATTTGATTCATGGGCCTTACTGAGTGCATGAGGGCTGCAAGATATGATAAAAACATCCTATTGCGATTATTTTGATATATTATAGTGTCGGAAAATTAATTCTCTCTAATAAACATTGAAATCATGATGATGAATTTCATGTTTTATTAAATCTGGAGAACAATATATGTAGACCAGGACTTAATTATAATTTTACCTTTTTTATTTAAGAATCGCAGCTTCCTGAGATTTGCATGTTGCACTTATATACATATTGTGATTAATTGTGCAGCCCTGATGATAACTGCAAACACAAGTGACTCTCTGCTGCAGGTTTGAATTTTACATTTATAAAAAAGTCGAGTCTGACTTTCTTTTACTTTGAAATCACAAAGCCCTGGTGTCAGATGTGGAGAGCCATGAGGTGGTTATTGTGAGTGAGGGGGAGGAGGAGGAAGAGGAGCAGCAGCACACACAGCAGCAGTCAGGTGAGTCTTTAATCATGTTATTAAATGAGAAAACAAATAAGCCAATTACAGCTGAAATGAATGAGTGAAATGTTCATGTTCACCAGTGGTAAATGAAGAATTCAGACCTTTTAATTACATACTGTAAAAATCCTACATTGAAGCTGTTGTTCAGTAAAATGTAGTTAAAGTGTAGATGACGGCAGCCATACGTCACGTCATAACGACCGCGCACCCCTTTTAGGTGAAACAAGCTGTAAAAGTGCCAAATGGTTCCATGTTTAAAAGCTGCTGCGTCAAACAATAAAAAAAACAGGTTATGACTTTATTTACGTCCCCAAAGAATGAAGGACAATAAAAGAAAAGATCTGGAAACATATGTAAATAAAACTGTTGTTAAAACTTAAGACCAGAACAAAAGCGTTCAATAATAATACAAATATTAATAATAATAATAGTAAAAACATAATACTGTATAAAAAGTGGGGCGGGCTGTGGCTCAGAGGCAGAGCGGGTCGTCCCCCAATCGGAAGGTTGTTGGTTCGATCGCCACGTGCTCCCCATTTTTGTGAATGTGTATGAATGAGTTAGTTTCTGTTCGATGGACTTTGCCATCACTGAGTGAATGTGTGTGAAAGGGTGAATGTGGCACGTAGTGTAAAAGCACTTTGAGTGGTCGGAAGACTAGAAAGGTATACAAGTACAGGTCCATTTACCATTTACCAAAGTTATTAAAAATAATAAGAAAACTCTCAAAATTCTGTAAGCTAAAATATTTGCTGGTTCTGACCTTTTTGAGTTTTGGATTTGGGGAGTTTGTGATGGATACTTCTCTATTTTTAGTTTATTTTTTATTTTCTCACATTTTATAAAAGAAAATAAATCACAAGTTGCAGTTACATTTACATTATGTTATAGTTATACTGGATTAGTTCCACGTTATCCTACTAATATAACCTCATTCTGACTGAGCTAATTTAACTAACAGTAAATAACATTTAGATAAAGTATTTTAATTACTTCTACTAATAATATAAAACTGTATTCACAGTGTCTTGACATAAAATACAAAACTACATTTTTAAACAGGTTAAATTATATTTTTTTTCTGATTTGGTTGCAGTGAGTAAATAAATAAGTGTCACTATACGCAGACAATGTTGTGTTGTCTGTGACTACTGGTTCTACTGGACTCCGTACAAACTGAGACCTTCTCCTGCGTCTGTGTCCAGATGTGGAAGACACTGGGAGTCTGGGCCTCCTGTGGTTTGATGACGATGAAGAGGGTGATGATGGAGATGAAGGGCAGCAGCTGTCGGCAACAAGCTCCAGAAAGGGACGCGAAGATCTGAAGGACCCGGATTTTCAAATAACATCAAGGTCACAGATCCCAGCGCCCACCAGTTTAATGAAGATGTTCATGTAGCTAAAAGTATGTGGACACGCCCCCTTTTGTGTCAAACAGTGCTGCGTTGATTTGTGTTTCCGTAACCAGATTGGCAATCTGTCGAGTCGGGTCAAAGCGCATCCGACCGCCTCCAAACAGGCTGTGGTGAGGTCAGATGGGATTCGCCGGCTGCGGGGCTGAGTGGGATGTGCGGAGTCGTGGTTGTTTTTATTTGAGCTTTCACTGCTGTGAAACATATTTCCACACGTCCTGGAAAATCTAAAGACTAGTTTTCCAGTCATGGAAATGCCTGGCTGTGGTTGCCAGAACTTTACTGTAATAAATACGGTAAAAGGACATTAGTCCTGTTTTATTCCATATTTTTACCATCAACAGCAGCAGTGTGTTGCCATGAGATATGACGGTGGTTTTCTGTCTAATTTACAGTCCGTTATATAAAAAACGACTTTATTCTGTAAAAATTCTACTTCTTCTTTTAATAGACTAATAAGGGAGAAGAGGATTTTTTATGTAAAATAGAATAAATTCTACTTTTTCTACTGTCCAGTGAACTGACTACATAACAGTTTAAATTAACAAATTAACTCTTCATCAAGACCTCTACATCAATAAAAAAAGAGGAATAAATCTGAAATCAGAACATTTTATTTATCTGATTCGCTGCTTTGTTAACGCCACTCCTTCTCTTCATTCACTCTCTAGCTCGCTCGACCAGCGCTAGCCACCGGGATCCAAACCAGCAAGTGTGTATGTGAAGATTGTTAGCTTAACATGTTGGTAGCATGCTAGTTAGCCTAACGTTGTGTTTGTTGTTGGTTTATTTGGTGGCTCAGGCAGCATGCTGTTAGCCTGCTTGTTAGCATAGCGTGGTAGCTGAGGATGATTGTGTGGTTGTAGCTAGGTGTGGTGAGCAGCGACATGTTAGCTGGTTGTTATTAGCTAGCATGCTGTTAGCTAGTGACACAAAACACAAAACTCCATAAAGAACTGAACCGGTCTGCACAGAGCCCCGAATGAACTGGACTGTGATCCAGACCTGATCACCCAACATCAGTGCTGGACCCCACCAACAGTCACAGTCCCATATGAGTCTAATGTTCCAGTGTCCACAAACTTTTGGCCATGAACAAGTCCCATATGTTCACTACCGTCTTATTTTGTTAACCTGTCTTCACCCTCCAGGTTAATTTCCCCCAGAGGTCGGTCTGACAGGAGAAGGCCCGGCAGGCCTCGGACCAGTGACACACAGAAACATCTAGATCTCAGGATCTGCATCCTGGAGGACTCTCAGACCAGTGTGCTCTCAAACAGGGGTACACTGTGATTGATTAGTGACTGATCCCAGAAATGTAAAGATGAACTCAACCTCACGATGATTTTCTTTTGTCTGTTTCAGTGTTTCGGAAATGTCCGGTGCAGGAGCTGCAGTGTCCTCGTGGGCTGCAGGAGGCGGACTTCCTGGACCTGCTGAGGTCCACCTTTCCTCAGCTGGCTGCTCAGAAACCTTTAGACTTCTTCACGACTGACAGAACGAAGAGACTGCAGCCGCTTAGAGTGACGACGGTGACGCCGGAGGAGATCGACAGGAGCATTAGGCTGACTGGAGCGGGAAACTCAGCCCTCTACATCCGCCTGAAGGTGAATCCAAAACAGTCTAACATAACATCAGCTGATTAAAAACCACAAACTCTCTCCATCCTCCAATGAGCTTCAATTCGTTATTTAATATTTCTTGTGTTTACAGACCGGAGAGGATCCTGAGAGCAGCAGTGACGACCTTCATCCTCTACAGAGACAAGATGATTCTCCGTCCAGCTCTGCCACGACGTCGACTGATCAAACCCAAACACACCACAGGTGACCAAAGAGACCGACACACAGACCCAGTAATCTACACGAGGTTCTGCAGTAGTTTAATGGCCACTGAGGAAGGTTTCTGTGGTCATTGAGAAGGTTCCTTTAGTACACTGGTTACCCACCTGAAGGTCATAAGGGTCTTCTTGATTTTAAGGAGTGTAAGAAAACTTAGAAAATGTACAAAAGAAGTCTATATCTCAGTGTTTTGTTCATGTCTGTGAGGAAAAGTTAATTAAATTGTTATTTTTAGGAGTCATATTATTATAATTAACATTTCTGAACACAAACTATATTTACTCTCTGATAAATAAGTATGTAAGTATGCCAAGTGTCAGGGAGATGAAAACACTAAAACTGTCAAAAAAGAAGCTTATTAAGTCCAGCTTCTCAGATGTGAGTGTTTTCTGGTTTCTGTCGTCCTTTATGACCGTAAACTGAATATCTTTGGTTGAGGACGTCACCTTGCTGACATTATGGACCAAACTACTAATCGATTAATCCAGAAAATGATGGACAGATGAATCGATAATGATGGTATGATGAGAAATTGATGGTCAGTTGCAGCCCTGGTGTTAATAATAACGCTACAGGATGATCAGATGTTGTGTCTCATCTGTTGGGTTATCGTCTCCCAGAGATTCTTCTGAGAGGAGGAAGCGTGGCAGACCTCGCCTCGGTGAAGAACCAACTCACCACCTCCTTAAAATCTGCATGCTGGAAGACTCCCAGTCCGACCTGCTCTCTAAAAACGGTGAATATGACAGCATGGTTCTGAACGAACTCACTGACCGTGTCGATGGAGGTTAATTAAGGTATATTTTCTCTCTGTTTCAGTGTTACTGAAATCCTCGATACAGGACCTGAGGTGTCCTCGCGGTCTGCAGGAGGCGGACTTCCTGGACCTGCTGAGATCTACCTTCCCTCAGCTGGCAGAAGCCAACAAACCTTTTGACATCTTCAAGTCCGACAGGAGCAGGAGGCTCCAGCGGCTCCAAGTGAAGACGCTGACGCCGGACGAGATCTACAGGACCATGAAGTCCACCGGCGTCGCAAAGACGCTGCTCTACATCAGAGTGAAGGTCCATAAATGTCCCTGAGATTGAACCAGCATTCATTTAAATATTTTAATAAGTTGTTTCCTTAAAAAACATCATTTGGGAACAAACTCTTGCAGACAGGAGAGGAGGAGGAGGAGGAGGAGCTTCACCTCTTACAGAGAAACGATGAGACGTCCTCCGATTCTCCGTCCGCTGAGCTGATGAAGAGTGATGAAGCCGGACTCAGTTCAAGGTAACTTAAAGATCTCCTCCACACATTTATTAAGACATAGAAACAATAATGTGTCTGATACGTTTGTAGAATAATTCGACTTGATATCAATAAAGTCTTATTAGTTCCCAGTAGTTCCCAACCTCTTCCTTAAAGGAGCCTTTTTCTTTCACTGAGTAAACTGACTGTATTTTATGTATATTTTATTCACTAATATCAATAACATCAGATGAACTGAACAATGAACCCAAACAGTGAACTCAATAACTGCAGGAAGTTTGAGAAAACAGAGTATTTGGTGAATTTGAGCAGATTATTTCCTGTTTCCTGGGTCCAGACCTCCAGGCTGAACCACAGGTTTACATTCATGCATGAGAAATAAGTACAACTAGACGTCAGTCTGGTCCACTACAAATATCTACGACATAGATCTGCACAAAGTAATCTGACATTGTTGCCCCACAGCAGGTCGGTACAGCACGTAGAAGGTAACAGAGTTCACTCACAACCACCGGAGGAAGCTGATGACGATGCTGCTGCAGAGAAGCAAGCGGACTCCAGCGACGACGACGACAACAAAGACGAGGCGTTTGATGGAGACGACGACTGGAAACCGGATCCCGAGACGCAGTCGTCGAAGCCGAGGAGGAAGCGAGGAGGCAGGACGTCCGGCGGGGAGGAGAGGTCGATTGAGAGCAGCAAAACACCGTGTAAAGTGTGTGGCGTTTGGTACAGGATGCTGGGCAGTCTGATCAAACACGCCTGGAGTCACGTGGAGGAGCCGCAGTGCATCTGTGGTGTGTGCGGAGAGCGTTTCCAATCCGTGGAGGAGTTAAAGGGACATCTCAGAAATTATCAGAAAACTCACGACTGCTCGTATTGTGGAAAGTCTTTCTTTACCGTCACCGGCCTCAACTGCCACACCACCCTGCACACGGGAGACCGACCGTTCAAATGTGACGTCTGCAACAAGACCTTCGCTCACATGTCCGGTCTGAGCGTTCACCGCTGGGTCCACGTGGCCGATAAACCTCACAAGTGTGACATCTGCCCAAAGGCGTTCGGTCTGAAGGCGCAGCTCAGAGCTCACAGGAAGGTGCACTCGGGCAGAGACAAGTACCACTGCAACGTCTGCGGCAAGTCTTTCTATGACCTGCGATCTTTGACGCGTCACAAGGCGACTCACTCTGGGGAGCGGCGTTATGGCTGCGAGGTCTGCGGGAAGCGTTTCAAACTGCCAGGCACGTTGAAGTCGCATGAGAAGATCCACACGGCCAGAGACCGGCCGTACCTCTGCCACATCTGCTGCAAGACCTTCATGTCCAACTGCGGTTTAACGACTCACATGAAGACGCACAGCAACGAGCGTCCGTTCACCTGCGTCGTCTGCAGCAAAGGCTTCATATCCAACGGTGAGCTGAAGGCGCACATGCGTGTGCACAGCGGCGAGGCGCCGTACGGCTGCTCGGAGTGCGGCCGCTTTTTCAAACGAAAGACTCACCTTAACAACCACGTGAGGAGCCACTTGGGCATCAAACTGTTTGTCTGCGCCGTCTGCGGGAAGGCGTGCTCTCGCCAAGAACACCTGACGGTCCACATGAGGACCCACAACGGAGAGAGACCGTACCAGTGCAGCCTCTGTGACAAGGCCTTCACTCAGGGCCATTGTCTGAAAACACACATGAAGAGTCACCACGGGGAAGAAAACCCGTTCCTGAGCGAATCCACGTCCTGAAAGATGCGTTTTAACAGCCAGTTCCGTCTGAAAAACCACATCTTTTCTTAAAATGTGTCCACAGAAAACTGACATCAGATTTGTAAACTGTCGCTGATTTAAAGGACCGGTGTGTAGGATTTAGTGGCAGATTGCAGCCATTTGAATACCGCTCACGTGTACGAGAAACTACGCTGGGCGCAAAAAAATGTGAAAGCCCCAATCTACGGCCAGTGTTTGGTTAGTCTGTTCTAGGCTATTGTAGAAACATGGTGGACTCCGCCAGAAGATAAAACATCTCATTTTAACAAAAACACAATGATTCTTATTTTCAGGTGATTAAACACTAATGAAAACATACTTGTGAACATTATATTACAGTAATGTTACACACTGGACCTTTAAATCTTTTTTGTAAAAACACTTAAAGCAGTGAAAAAGTGTTCAAGTATTGGTGTTAAAAAATTTCATATTATTTTACTTTAGGGAGGAAAAAGAAATTAAACACAAACAATCGATTAATCAACTGACAACAGATATTTTGGTGTTTAAATGTAGCAGTCGTTAACGAGCCTCCTTTTGTTTTTTCATTAAAACAATAAGAGCTGAAAACAATCAACAACTTTTTCAATAATTATTTGTTTTGGTGTTTTCATACCAAGCTCTACTTTTTGATAAAAAAAAAACAGAAAACTAATTTCTGGAACAATTAATCGATTATTTGTTTTAGTTTGTTACCAAAATTCAGGTATCATAACAGCACGAGTATTTAAAAAGACAAAAAGCTGAAAGAATTTATTGATTTACAGAAATAGAAGATAAATAACTGACTTTTATCTGTTTTACATCTTTGTAAACTGAATATCTTCAAAACAAAAACAAACACGTAAATGATCAATCATCATACATCATACAAATAAATGATCAGTTTCAGCTCTAAAGAACTTTGAGTTTAAAAGAGGAGTTGTGATGCAGGTTTCAGGGCTGCTGCAGTATAAACAGTCCTGAACTGTTTACAGAGGGAAGAAATCTGATCCTTCGTTAGAACTACAAATAATTACAGATCTTTAGGTAGCAGAGTCGTGTTGTTCTTCATGTTGTATTTACTGATACTTTCTGTCTCTCTACTGTCGATATCCAAAAAAAAGACGTAAATTTCACTCTTGCAAACTTTATCTCTGTTGTGTAGAAACTGAAACTGTACAGTGATATATATTTTTTACATGTTTTCTTGCAGTGTCGATTAGTTAATTAGTTTTTATTTACGTTCCGCTGTTGCCATAAAACCAGCCAATTTTAATGTTGTGTTCAGGGCAATGGGAAAGAGGGCAATTCTCAAAACGGAGTAGTTTAAATTGACTTAATCAGCTTAAGCTCTGTAATATTCAAACCTTTCTAAACCCCGCCCCTTTCACAACCGCGGTTAACTTCCTCCTTTCCTGTACTTAGATATGCTAGTGCTAGGCTAATCTATGTTGAAAATACATTTTGAAGATGGCTAAAAGATAAGATATACATATACATATATATATATATGTCTTGTTTTTATCTTTTAAACATCTTCAAAATATTGTTGGCCGAGGGTTGCTCAACTGTTTGAGGGCAAAAAGGGGCTATGCTCAAAATCGTCTGCTAACATACTGCCGACTACTAAGTAATGTCCATATTCGAGTACTCCTCCCAAAATCTAACGTGAGAATAGGTACGAAATGAACGCCCAAGCGTGTTGTGTTAAAGGTTAGCCTACTTTTCTGCACAGACCGCAGAGATTCGCGGCGATGGTAGCTGGTACTCTAAAGCATATTAGTCCCCATTTATACACGATGAACCAGCTTATCTTCTCTGCACAGGTGACGTCAACGGCGCTCGCTAACACTAGCAGATGAGGAAATGAGATTGTGTGTGTGTGACATTCTGATTCTGAACACAGCTCTAATTCTACATGTTGATGAATGTGACATCCAAACACTTCCAAATCCCACGTGGTCCTGAATGCAGCATATGGTGCCTTAAAGTGCATGGTTTCCTCCACAAGCGTTATTCAAGTATAAACAACCAATATCCTGGTCTGCAGCAGAGTGAAGAGCAAATCCTGCTTAAATACTGTATTCAACTGTAAAAAATGTGAGCCTGCTTTTGCTTGCTATGCTACGTATACACGACCAAAATAAAAATATTCTGTGCAAAAATGTGTCAGCAGTGACTGTACTGTTGTACTGTGACACTGTGACAGAGTCGTGGTTGCTTACATACGCACAGTAAGCGTGTTCAGGGCAGCTCCAGCAGGTTGTGTTCGGCCAGGATTCGTTGAGTTTGCGTGTGGACCAGCGTCAGGGCGTGGATGATGATGCGTAGGACGGGCGTGGCCTCCCGCTGGCTCTGCACACAGACCAGCTGCAGGAAGTAATGTCTGTCTGGGAGAGCGAGGAAGACGAACTCTGCAGCCTGACGGAGCACCCAGGGGTGGTGGGGCGCCAACGCCACCCTGTAGGCGTCCCTGAGGGAGGAAAACGAAGAACAGAACATATGGAGTCAATGTTATATTGGCTCTAATTTCCATCCATACACAAAAGAAAGTTGAAACAAACTCAGAACTGAGCAGCTCCATGTAACATCTGTTGTCTGACAGTGTGACCGGTCCTTGAACGCACCACGGTCCGTCTGTTACCTGCTCAGCTCTCCAGGTGTTTTGTATCGTCCGTCTGCGTCCGGTCCTTCAGCCAAACCCTCCAACATCAGCTTCAACCACAGCATAGATCGATGCAGCCGCAGCAGCGTCCTGCAGCCCGAATCTGTGCGACGGGAGAAGTTGACCACGCCCGCTTTTAGCTCCGCCTCCACCATGGATCGAACTGAGCGGTACGCCTCAAGAGGAAAATAAAGAAAATTAGCAGCAAGTCAGATAACTTCATACAGAGCCACTCTTTCATCCTCACCCCATGTTTTAGTCCAGATGATGATGGGATTTGTTTTCCATGAGCCTCTGCGCTGTGTTTGAGTGACAGCTCTCGTATCAGCACGACCTTTTCCTTCACCTTCTGAGAAAAGAAACTGACGATCGTCCCGAGAGACTCCATGAAACTGAAAGAAGAGAAGTGATTTTATCTCATCAAATATAAATCTGTCTAAATCTTACAGTTGAACAGCAGCTTCAGCAGCCAGTTATCTTAAATTAGCATACAGACAAAAACTGAACATACAGCAAATGAAGCCAAGACAAAATTGACAAAACCTGCAGTTCCTCTTACATCCACTAGAGGCTGGCTCCAGTAGTGAGGCCTCATATTAAAATAAAATGTCCAACTTTACAGCAGAAATAAACATGTTTACAGGCTTTTGGAGTCTGTAGTTAATTTCCCCGTTAATGACAACCGTACAACTCCCCCCCTTTAAATTATATTAAGGATTAAAGTTTTGTATAATTAAGGGTGTGGCTTCTGTGACTGACAGGTGACTGTTTCCAGTAATCAGGCTTCATTCAGCTCCACCAATGTTTGGTTTAGCCAGAAGCCGGTGGAGTCAGGACCAGAGCCGACCACACTGAGCTTCCCAACGGCTCCACATTTCTTTATCTTTACACTTTTTGTCCTGACTAAACAAACGATAATATGTTAATTAGTGAGGTGAGGAGTAACAGTTGTGTCCGCTCAGTTCCAGTCTTTAAGCTAAACTAAGCTGGCTGTGGCTTAATATTTACCGTACAGAGAGCGAGTGGTATCAATCTGAACATCTGATACTTAACAAGAAAGTTGTTCCTTTAAGAAAGGCCGTGTTCGTACTTGAGGAGTTGATCCCAGCTCTGTAGGTACGGCTCCAACAGGACGTCGTCACCGTCGGCCAGGCTGGACTTTAAATACTGCAGCAGACGCCGGGCCTGAAACGATTGGCCCGGACACTCCTTTATGAGGGGCGGGGCTCTGTCTGGCTCCGCCCACTCCCCGGGGGCCAATGGAGGCTCAGGCTGAAAGAAAACAAACAGCTTTTTGTCTTTTATATCTCAACATTTAAGTAATTAGTATTGATATTCATCTACATTGTCCATAAAGCAATGTTTATTATTTATGCTTTTACTCAGTGTTGGTCAACCTACATTGAATTTAACTTAAAGAGAGAGAAAGAAACGGATACTAATACTTCTGTAAAGTTAAGACATTTTGTCCGTTCCTCTTCAAAAAGCTGTTTCAGGCTTCAGACTAGAATCTGAGGAGTTAAAGACCCTGATAAATACAGACTTCAAGAAAAGTTTTCAGGGACTTTGAGGAGTTAAAGATCTGTATTATGTGTGTTCGTCGTACCTTTTGGTAGTAAAAATTCAAACATGGCTGCCAGGCGCTGCCACAGTCTCTTACACCGCCCTGAGCTGAAGAGAGACACAAACAAAACGTATTTACAAATCCAGAGTCCTCAAGAAGTCATAATGCACTCTTCACCAAGTGTAATGCACGTACACAATCATTAGGATGCTTCTATTATTACTGTTGTTATTAGTACGTAAGGAATCACCACTGGGGGGCGCATGTGATTAAGAACAGTGCAATAAGAACTTAATAGTAACTGGATGAGTGAGTGTGAGAGACAGACAGTACCAGCTGACGGTGACGGAGGAAACTTACGGAGCCACAAGGAGCTGACGAAGAGGAGCAGAGCCAACATGGCCGACAGCAGCAGGTAACGAAGCAGCGTTGTCCGTCTGAGGAAAACCATGATGACCACAACACACACACACTTTAACCTTTAACTCGTTAAAACACACACCGTTTATAAGACTACACTTGTCATCACATGCTCTCTCTCTCTCTCTCTCGCTCTCGTTGGGGTTAAAGGTCGTTTGTTTGCTCACTCCCACAGGTACACACACGGCTCAGGACGACCTTTGCACTTGACCTTCGTCCTGCTGGAGTTTATCTCAGCCTGTTTATCACACACACACACACACAAACACACCCTGAAGCTGGCTGCTGGGAAATCCTTATTTGGGCAAAAGGGCAGAGTCTGACTGATATTAATTTTACCTTTATTTAAGTTAATAATAGTTTTAGTTCAATTATTTCACACTAAGAGACAGTTACTGTATTAACCCTGTAACAAGTGGATTATCAGTGGATTATGCACTGATAATCCACCAGGGATCAATAATTTATGCACCAGAGGGCCTTCAATTGAGACATCCAAAATGGCTGCCATCAATCAGTGACCCACAAGTGGTTTTTCAAGGATATTTTTGCTTATTTTGAAAAGGTTAAGGTAAGAAAAACATGTAATGTAAGGTCAATCTTTGCCTGAACAAGGACAGAAACTGTTTCCAGGCCGACGACAATGCAAAATAAAGAGGTTATGAACCACAAATTGAACCAAACTGAGTGAAAAGTTCCTCCCCCGCCATGCCGGTTCCACTGCGTGACAGCTTCATTTCAGCAAATACAGAACATGACGTTGTTCTGTAATGTGGAAATAAAATTATTTTGTATGTTTGAAATTACTTGAGGAAAACTCAAAGTTTAATGGGTTAAAAAACTTGTTTTATATGTTTTTGTTTGTTTAAGATAAACAAACAATAAATTGCACAAAAATACCGGATGTAGCAAAATGATACAAATTAAAACGCATATATGCAAATTGATTTTTTTTTTTTTTAAATAATTCATCAGAAGGTTCAATAAACGCTCCAGTTTCAAAAAATTAATTAATGCAATTATTTCACGGTTCAGGCTTTACAGGGTTAACTGTCTCTTGATTGAGTCCATTTGACAATAATACTAAGTTTAAAAGGACAGGATTGAGGTCAGTGCTGTAGATACAGGTCAGAGGTCTGTATTTTTTATCTAATTCATATAATTAACAGTAACATTAATTATATTATTACCTTCATTTCATAGGTTTTAGAGAATTCCCATAATTTAACCCTAATTGTCTTTCAGACATTTGATTGAGTCTCTTTGACAATAACACTAAGTTACATAAGTCAGTGCCGTAGATACAAGGCATGGGTCAGTGCTATAGATACAGGGGTCTGTACTGTTTACTATAACTTACGATTATCTGACTGGAAATGACAAGTTTCCAGGTTGTGACAGTCGACATAGAGTACAATGATTATAACCCAGAGACAGCGTTTTGTATCGTAGTAGTATTGTTAGTGCTAGTCCCAAATGAAGACCTTATTTCCTGGCAGCAGCTGTATTTGAGGAAGAACAGCGCCCTCTGCCTGATTAGATCAGTAAAGCATGTGGTTCATTAATGACACAAAAGTCATCAAAACTGGAGAGAAAATGATTTTATTGATGGTAAAATGACAAATGTAGCACCTTTAAGTTCTATAAAGATGTTGAAAGACACACAATGAATTGATTTTTTCAATCAACAACTCCAGAACATCTGATTGATTGACTGATTGATTGATTGGTGTCTTTGGTGCATGAGTTAGTGTATCTTGTGCAAATATATTTATGCATACATGTGCTTGTGCTTATTTTTAATGTAAAGCTAAAGAATAAGGTAAGAATAAAGGTTTTCCATGACTTCAGAACACAAATTATGGCTTTTTAAGGTAGAATATAAGGATATCTAACATACTTGTGCTAATCTTGTTGGCAGGATCTTCATCTTAAAGCTTGAAGAGAAGTAAATGTAAAGATAGAAATAAAAAGGTTTGTTAATAGAGAATATTTTAAAGGGCAGTAATGCTGTGATTGGGACAATTTAGCTTAAAGAAGAAAAGGAGTTTACGGGTTAACTGGATTAAGACTAAAGGTTTTCTTGAAGTTCAAAAATACAGTAAGAACAGTTTTACAGTAGAATAAAGGATTTTTAAAAATTGTGCTTAGGAAGATCAAGAGTTTGGTCCGGAAGTGTTTTATCTTTGAAAACAGGTGAAACATTTTTTTCCAGGAGCATATTATTAAGTTTTAATAATTTTTTTATCTGCACAAACTTAGCGTTTGTTGTTGTAATATCAAATTTTGACCACAGCAGGATGACCACGACCTGACAGGAAAGCTTCAAGATGAGTTTTAATTTCTCTTAGCACCAATAAAAATAATTTTCTATACAAAGGACACATGACAGTTACAAACTAGATAACAGACAATATGTACCTTTTGTTTAGAGTCTATGGAGAAATTAAAACTATCAATTAATTTAATTAAAAATCTTGAAAAAAACAAATTCACCTGTTTTAACTTAGAGAAAAGCTCCGAGAGGAAAAAAAACAACCTTTTCACTGATGAAAATAATGTAATAAATCATGTTCTTCCCTTTCAGTGCCTCTATAGTTTTGAAATGAAAGAGAATTAAGGATTTACTTTATACAGTGCAAAAAACACTTGGTAGACAAATGGGTTTGTGACACACTGAATTGAAATAAAGTTTGTGTAAAGGGTTTAGTTAAGGGATTCAGACTACTCAGAATAAGGGACTGTGAAGAACGGATCCAGGTTTTGCTTAGTCCTGACTCAGGACCATCTCGACTGCGTTGGAGTATTTGTTTTAACTTTACATCTGCTTGACATGTTGACTTCCACCTTAAAAGTCAGTAACAAGTTCATATTTTCTAAATTTGAGTGACTGAAGTGTCCGAGGTTTAGAAGATGGTGAATCAGGGATGGGTTCAGTATTTCTGTATTTCTGTTGTGTGTGTTGAGATCAGCAGAATCCTTCGACTTTAACCTGCAAGACGTCAGAAAGTCCAGGACGCTTCTGTAGAACCTGAAAACACAGACACACACACAGCATTAGTATTCCAGTTAAAATACATTATGGTAGTCGGAGTTTACATTNNCACATTAATAAGGTGTTTTTAAATGTTATACATGAGATTTTGAACATGTATATATCAGCAAACAACTGTTATCTATGTAAATATATAGCAAAGTTATAGTGTCACACTCCCTCTGCCTGTGTTGCTATCTCTGTGGTTTGTTAATGCTGTAATACCGGGGCAATCTCACTCCTGAATAACGCGCAGACGTACTGCGGTAGATAACTACATTTTAGTAAAGTCCAATAATTTCACATGAATTGTCTTTCAGACTGTCTGTCAGTCCACTGGCTCTACTTGATAACGCTGATGTCACTGCTTTATACGAGGTGTGATTGGCTGTAATTAAAATAAGGTCTCCAGCACCATCATGAAACCAAAATGCCCAAATTATGAAATGAAAACTCAGGTGTTATTCAGATTCACCTGTGGTATGATTAGTTTTTATTATAAACTCACACACTCACCTTTAGTGTTGTAACAATTTCTCCAAACAGTTGTTGAGCTTCCTGAGTGTCTGGTTCTTCAAAGTAATCCGACACCGCGACCTCGACCGTTATAGCTCTGATGTTATCGCACACACCTGCAGAGACACTTTATTAATAATAATAATAGTAATAATAATAATAGTAATATTAATATAAATATAGAATCAGCTAAAACCAACTCCACA